GTTTTTCCCATCACATAAAGTATTATCACTATGTACTTTTTTTAAAAACACTATATATTATCTAAATAATTTACCATAGTTTCTCATGTTAAAGTTCTCTTGTATATTTCTGTGTTTTATCTATTAGTGCTTTACCAGCATCTTTAGAAATAAGATCCAGGATCCCATCACTAAAGGAGCACATCAACATTCAATGCCTAAAATAAATAATTCTGGCAAGTCAGCTCAGACCCCTGGTAACTCTCTTATCTGATGTCCATCCCACTTATTTGTTTTGTACATTTCATTAAAATATTCAGATAAAAAATATATATACAGGATATATTTAGGATAGTGACAAAATAAAACTAGAGATTTTCCATATACATCTTTATGTTTTTCTTTAGAGCTTGCTGGCAGAGTCTCCTCTCCCTTTCTTGGGGTGCACACTATGCAGTTGGGTCGAGTGACTTTGGAGGTTTCATCGGGAGATATAACTAAAGAAAAAACTGATGCAATTGTCAACTCCTCAAATCAGACATTTTCTCTGAAAGCAGGTTAATCAAACTTCACACACTGTCTTGCTTATTTGAATTTGTTATGCTTATGTTTCATTTATAATTTATATCACTTAAAGAGAATTATAATGTAACTGTCATTTTTTTTTATTGTAATCCAGGAGTATCCAAGTCCATTTTAGATGCTGCTGGATTAAAAGTGGAACAAGAATGTTTACAGATTGGTTTGTATTTTTTTTTTATCTATTATCATTTCTTGTTGATGGACATTACCTTTTTGAATACTTCAAAAGTGATCTAATGAGCTTTAGATACAATTGGTAAACCTCCTCCTCTCTTTTCTATTGGTAAACCCATTTTCTTTCGATAGTGAGATCATCAAAAATGCAGCAAACAGAGATTGTGACCTCAGCCGGGCTCCTGCCATGTGGAAACATCATCCATATTATTGGTCGCAATGATCCTTCTGGCATTAATGATGTTGTTTTCTCTGTTCTGAAGTTGTGCGAGTCTCGCCAAATTACTTCTGTTGCCTTCCCTGCTCTTGGCACTGGTAAAAATGCTTATATATATATATATTATACTGAAATATTGTGTGAATTATTTACGATTCTTCGATCTCTAATCCTTCAGGTCAGGGTGGTGCAAAACCAGGTGATGTTGCAGATGCAATGGTTGATGCAGTTGTTGACTTTGTGAAGAAAAAGAAACCGGTGCATGTAAAGTTTGTGAAGTTTCTCATATTCCAGACGAACATGTTGGCAGACTTCCACCAAAGTATGGTCAGAAGATCTGGTGAAAAAGTACAGGAGGATAAAGGTCTGTTCACCAAAATTAAAGGTCAGTAAACAATAATACAAAGTATGCTAATCCTATTCATTCTTGTTTTTCTTAAACGCAGTAATTAATTCCTCTTTATCTTTCCAACAAAAATGTACCTTGCCTTGAATAAAAAAAAAGACTTTTTTACATGGGAAAGTTCAGAATCTCCCTCAAATGAAGAATTTGTGATGGTGGGTGAGGAAATTGAGCCAGCTGTGTTCCAGCTGTGTGGAGAGACACAAGAGGACCTGAATGAAGCCAGAGACATGATCAACAGCTTGATATTACGGGAGCACTTGACCATCCCAATCCGTGATCCAGCCATTGCTCATTTCACAAAGGAGGATGTAGAAATTCTGAACGGCATGCAGAGGGAGTTCACAATCAATGTCCAACTTGAGAAGAAAGGCCAAGACTCTGTCGTCACATTGGAGGGACTGACAAGAGACGTTCACGGTGCAGAGAGTCGTATTCGGGATATAATCCGCAAGGTGGAAAGGAATGAAACCCGAAGACATGAGGCATTTATGATCGGCAGTATGGTCAAGTGGCAATATCAGGAGAATGGACGTAGCATCAAAAACTTTGATATGTTGACTAATTATGACCTGGAAAAGGCCTTTCAAAACCGGCTGCCTTCAGTGAAAATCAAGATTAATAATGATGAATATGAGGCCGATTTAGATCGCAAAGAGGCCACAAGAGGGAGAGTGAGGATTGAACTGAACAGAGTAGATCTGAAAGGTGCGAATATTTTATAATTTAGACAATTATCCAAAGGCCATCATGTACAAAGTTTAGTTATTCATGTTTTTGTTATTTTTGTCCATAGATGCAGCACCAGCTCAAAGTTCTTTGCCTTCACACTGGGAGGACATGAAAGGGAGGTCAGTTGTTCTTGTGAAACTCACATCAGGCTCGAATGAATATAAAGATGTCGAGAAAGAGTTCAGAAGAACCGGTCTAACCTCTAACATCATTGAAGTAAGACTAGATGAAGGGGAAAGACAAATCTCCTGTTTATTAGTTTCGAAAGGTTCTGGTTTGCATTTTATTAGTATGTTGAAATTCTAATATTTATTTTTGTCTTTAGATTGAAAGAGTTCAGAACAGCACACTTTGGAAAAACTATATGATCAAAAAGGAGGATCTGGAAGACAAAAACAAGCACAAAAAAAATGAAAAGCGTCTCTTCCACGGCACTGGTCCTGATAAGACAGATCAGATCAACCATCACGGCTTCAATCGCAGCTATGCTGGAGCACATGGTATCAATCAAATTCAGCATAAACTTTATTTCCACTTGTATCCATTTGTGTTAACAGTCTATTGTTCTTGTTCTGTTTTTAGGAGCCATGTTTGGGAATGGATCATATTTTGCTGTGGACCCGAGTTACTCAGCCCGAGGCTACTCTCAACCTGATGTCAGAGGACTTAAACGCATGTATCTCGCCAGGGTGCTTGTCGGTGATTTCACTAAAGGAAATCAAGGCCTTCCTGTTCCCCCTGCGAAGAGCTCCAATGGTGCTGATCTGTATAACAGTGTGACTGACGACATCAACAACCCAACCATGTTTGTGATCTTCAATGATGTACAGGCTTACCCAGAATACCTAATCACCTTCCAGTAGCGATTATGAGATCTCCGTTTCTGTTTTTGTTTCCCGTTTTGTCATTTGGTGTAGCTGAAAAAACTGGTATGTGAAATTTTTACTGGGAATGTAGACTGGTTGCATCATGCTCATATAAATGAGAGAACAGCAATTTATCCTGAGAAAGTTTCCTTCTAATCTTTATTTAATCAATAATTATTTGTTTTCATATATTGAAGTATTGCCAAACAAAGAAAACAGTTTGTGCTGAACATATATATGGGGATTATGTGCATGCAGATTAAAGGGACACATTGATTAAAATTAGACATGTCATTATATAACAAAGGACTTAAATTATGATTTGTTAAAAAAAAAAAAAAAAAAAAATATATATATATATATATATATTATTTGTTATGCTGTGTAAATATCCTTAGATATCCTTACAAAATTTAGGCAGAATATTAATTAAAAATGTTAACTAGCATAATAATAATAATAAAAAAAAAACTGTTTGTCTTTTCAAATCTGTCGTGTGTCATATTGAGTTGGCTTGTGCATTTTGCTGGGAGAATATGTTGCGTTCACTTGTTGTAATTACCGTAAATACATTTCTTTATGCTTTTGAATGGTTGAATACACTAATCGGTCTGCACAGTGCCACTTCCAAGTCGAGCACACCATGGGTGCTTCTTAATACTCAAATTGATGCTTCCTCTTTTCCTCGCTCCTCTATCCTCAAACCAGCACTCAGGCGAGTACCCAATGACCGAGTACCCCCTAATATTTGATTTAACAGTAGGAGTTGTATTACGTTGTCGTTTGTGCTGTGCGTGAGGGCAAGGAATCAATAGGCACGGGTGGATTGAGGGTTCAATAGCCAAGACTATTTGGAGTCAATTCGGTACCCACTACCCACTTATATGCAGCTGCTTTCAAATGGTCCGAAGACCATCAAAGGTTTCAAATGACAGTCCATCAAGCGCATCCATTCATGATAAAAGTGCTCGAAATGGCTCTGGGGGGTTAATAATTGTCTTCTGAAGTGAAGCAATGCATTTGTGCAAAATGCAATGCCTATTGCCTATTATACCTATGCAAAAAGTAGGTATAAAGTTCTTATTAAAAATTCTTATTTGTTGTGTAATAATAATACTAATAAAATGCTGCAAAAAGTATCAACAAGCAAGTATTATTTTCAAAAGAATGGTATTTTATACAATGAAATGAGTTCGTACAACTTTTAATTGATTATCTTCACTATTTTCTGATTGTAATGCCATTTCCAAGGAAGCTATTAGAACATAATAATTATTTTTATTTACAAACAGTCGTACTTCTGGTATCAAGTTGCTTTTATTAAATAATATTTGTTTAGCCAACTTTTGCCTATTTTCGACTTGAATGCGTGACATGTTATCAAGAATGCCTGACTTGGATAGCCTATCCAATCTTGAAGGGAGCAGTCAAGGTATCGTAGGCATAAACCACTGTGTTTATTAACTGTTCTAGGGTAAACTTTGCATTAGCAATCGCAGTACAGTGTCCTCGACACTAAAGGTTTCATGGCAAACTGACGAAGAAACGAAAGTGAAAATAGCAGGAGGGCGTGATCAAATAAACACTGACGGCAAGTCAGTTCGTTCACCAGAACGGTCGCGATGGAATATCCCATCACTGTCGAGGGAGACTGGGGAACTGAAAACGCTAAAAGTGTGAAAAATAAACTTCATATTCACTTTCAGAGTAAGAAGAAATCTCAGGGAGGAGACTGCGTGGTGCAATATAATGGCGAGAACAACTCTGCTACGATTCTGTTCAAATCATCTGACAGTAAGTGCTAAACACAAAAACATAACAAGTTAACAAAATAACACGTTTTGTGTTTTTAAGTAATATAATAAAGCTTTAGAGATATGTAAGGTAATTTCATGTTCAAAAATAGCCTAAAATGTGTAATAAACGAATTAACCTAATGGTAAATTAATCTGTGAATCTTCCGGTCACCGTTTTTGTTTTTGTGTGACCGTTCTTTGTTTTAAAGTGTTGTGATGTATCTGACTAAGTCTGATTGTTTGTGTTTAAGTCCGAGATGCCGTACTCCTTCAGGAAGAACACATTATTACCATTGACAGTCAGAAAATCAAGCTGAAAGTGTACAAACCCAGCGATGTACAGGAAGACAGCACTGGACTAAGAGTGAGTAAACAAAATGCAGATTTAAGACCACAATGCTTTTACAATAAAAACCAGAGCTTAGTGGCTTAAAAAATTCAAGAATTAAAAAATTCTTAGATTGCAGGTAAAACAGAATTAACAAAATCATCTATAAAAATATATAAATTTTAAATTTACAACAAAATATGAGTTAACTAAAAATAAATAACATGCGTTACTTTGAATTCACATTTATTAAATGACAGCTCTCCTGTCTCATGTTGAGAGAAATCGGGACCAAGATGCATTGTGTGTGCTGTGTGAACATGAATGTGTTTCCCATTTAATGGCTGACAGCTCTCCTGTCCCCATATTGAAACAAATTGAGAGTGAGGTTCGGTGCTCTGTGCGCTGTGAACATGACCGTTATTGTGGTTTTAGACTAAATGTGAGCATAAATTCACTCATCTCACTTGCACAAAAACAGATTCAGTATCCCTAAAATTAATACAAACTCACAAAAATGACCAGTTAAACAACACATTTATTCTCCCGTGTCTTATTCTTCTGCAATCCAGAAGGGCAGCACATCTGAAAGGTTTGTTTGAGCTGCAACTGTACAGATGTGAAATCCTGAGGCTTATTCATTCTTAAAAGGGCCTTTATATCTGTAAATGTAAATCTTTATGTCAAAAATATAAATGTTTGTTGATTTTCCTGTTTATTAAGAAAACAAACAAGCCCAGCCTAGATGAGAAAACGTACATAAAAAAAATATTAGTTACTTTCCAGTGAGTAAATGCAGTATTGTTATGCATTACTTTTAAAAGTTGATTGTAAAACTGATTGTAAATGCTGTGATTTTAGGTGGAGCAGGCATGTGGATATCAGGAGCCAAGTGAGTAAATCATCTGGACTTTGGTCTCTGACTGCATACAGTACATGCATGTGATCTTTTATTAGGTTAGGTTATCATGCTGACCTTGCTGATGTACTTTTTTACACATTTGTTTTCAATGTAAAATAAATAAAATAAAAAAACTAAATAACATTTAGAAAAAAATCTTTCTTTTTCCTTTAAATCCTCCCTTGTCAGGCTTATGCTACTCTGAGCAGTGCCTGAACTTTGTATTTTGAGCACTCGTATTTTGCGTTGTTTTTGCCTCTTCACGATGACTCGCTTGCTTTAGTCCTCAGTTGTTGGTCGCTTTGGATAAAAGGGTCTGCTAAATGACTAAATGTAAATGATACAAAACACTATTTTGTTAGTTAACGGTAGTTGATAGTGTTAACTGACTTTACAAAGAAATCTTTTAATGCTTTTGATCATCCTTTTTTACACCCTTCAATGATATTTTATAAATATGTGTCACTTTTATTTTGTCTCAAGATCAAAATGCCTCTCAAACTGATTTGGATGTGAAGAAGCCTCAAGAGTCAAGTGCTGTTGTCCTGGAGGACCTTCCAGATGAGTTTAAACAAGATGTTGTGACTCTTTTGGTGGAGAACATTACAAATCTTTCTGAAAATGACTTTACCATGGAATTAATACCAGAATTAAGAAAAGCAGTTGTGACCTTTAAAAATCCCAATCGTAAGTTGATAACATATACATACTTTTTTTATCATAATGTAAGCATATTTCACTATAGTCAAACTCTTTTGCACCAACACAATGCTTAAGTTTTACGTGATGGTCTTTTTGGCCTGGAGGAAATTGGAAAACTGTAAATTGTAGAAAGTAATAGATCATATTTTTTTTAATAGTAGATTTATAAATATTATACATTTAAATAAGAAATATTATCTGTAAAACATGCAAAACTCCTCAAAGCACAACAAGCGTATCGGTGAAATACCGGAATATTTGACTGCATATTTGATCACTTTTTTGACATTATTGATACTGCTTGCAATCACAAAGCAACAGACCGCTATATGGGACATAAAAAAAATGTCCCATATTTGCAGTGCTTTAATTATTTTAAACATTTCTTGAGTGAGCCATAGTTTAAAAGAAGACTTTCTAACTAACCTTCCAGCAAGCAGTGCTCCAAGATGTTTTGTAATGTAAATAAGCTTGATATGTAAATAACACTTTTTTAAAAAATAGCCCACTTAAAAAGTGTTTATCACAAATAAATGATAAAATGCTAAACATGAATAAATGTAAAAAAATGCATTGAATTAAAAGGATAGTTCACTTTGTGTTTTAGCTTACCTCAAAGGCATCCAACATGTAGGTGTCTTTGTTTCCACAGTATTTTCAATTTCAATTTTATTTTTAGGTCAAACCGTTCTTGTCTGTCAGTCATATAATGGAGGTTTATGGGGTCCACCTCAAAGAGCATGCACAGTGAAGTCTAAATTAAACATGAGTTAATGACTCGTAAATGTAAATACACGTTGATGGCCTAAGACACGAAACGAGCGGTTTGTGTGAGAAAACGAACAGTATTTATATCGCTTTTACCTCTTGTAACCACAGCCACGTCCAAGTACTCTGAGGACGAGGGCGCTTCTGTCTTCGCAAATGCCGGAAAGCCCCGGAAGTGATCTCGCGCGTGTGTACGTCAATCATTGTATACACAGAGATTTCAGAAGTGTTACTCTTCACTGTGAAGATCTAAACATATTTAGATATACAGGAAATTCCAATGGAAGACGATTTCGATATATCAACAGACAACGTTGATTTTTTTTCTCGCAACCGCGCGAAAGGTCACTTCCGGCGCTTTTTCGGCATTTGAGCAGACCGAAGCGCCCGTGCCTTCAGATAACTTGGACGTGGCTGTGGTTACAAGAGGTAAAAACGATATAAATACTGTTCATTTTCTCACATAAACCGCTCGTTTTGTGTCTTAGGCCATCAATGTGTACTGACATTTACGAATCATTAAATCATGTTTAATTTGGACTTCTCTGTGCATGCTCTTTGAGGTGGACCCCATAAACCTACATTAAATGACTGACAGACAAGAATGGTTTGACCTAAAAATATCAATTTAATCTAAAAATATCAAAATTGAAAATTCTGTGGAAACAAAGACACATACATCTTGGATGCTCTTGAGGTAAGCTAAAACATATCAAAAATTAATTTCAAAGTGAACTATCCCTTTAACAATCCTGTGAAAACAGTGTGCTGCAGCACCCGTACTTCCTGCGCCCCTGATCAAATTCATCCAGCACATTCTGTAAACTATCATTTCTGACAGATGCAGTAAAGTTCCTTGAGGATAGCAGAACACATAAAAAGTTCAAGAGGAATGATCTGAGGGCCCGTGCACTGGAGAGAAGCACATGTGTGCGGGTCGAGAATCTTCCAGCTGAAGCCAACAACAACAAGATGCTGCTGGAGCTGTATTTTGAGAAATGGGGTGGTCCAGTAGAGGAAGTCATCACAATTCCAGCAGAACAAGCTGCCATGATTACCTTTGAGGAGGAAGAAGGTATTCATACATGTTCAATTGCTGTTAATATTTGCTGTTACAGTTATGGATTTGGTTACATTTATTTACCTCATTTTGACTACCAGTGCATTTATTCATTGTACATGTAACTTTCATTCTTTACAGCAAAAGAGAGAATTTTGAAGCAAGAGAATAACATCTGTGAAGTTCCAGTCAAGATATATCCCTACTTTAAATCACTGGATACAGTCTTGTATGGTGGCAACAGACCACATTTGAAGCTGCCTGAACCCATTACAGTCAGTGTACATCCTGCCATCAGGAAGTTCCTCCTCATGAAAGCGGAGATTTCCTCTATTAGTGACCAGATGAGCTCACATTTCTGCAAAATAAACATGGACAAACCTGAAGCTTTGCTTAGTCCTGATCCAGCATTACTGAAACAGAAAGGAGTGACCAGAAGACACATTGATGACTGGAGTAAGAATGCCTGTGATGCCTTCAAGAAAATAATCTCAAACTACACAACATCTGAGTGGCCGGTGTCACATCCCTTGTGGTCTAAAGTGGAGAGTGATGTAAAGGAATTGGTGAAAGACAAGGTTTTCACAGATATGGATGCCTCTAAAGGTGTACTGACACTGGCGGGAATGACCCATGAGATTACTGGACTGAAGCCCATCATGGAGAAAATTATAGAGAGAGCAACAAATCAATTAGAGAGAGAGAAGAATAGTGTGACAGAGCATATGGAGATTCAGGTGGACCAGGCATGTGGATATCAGGAGCCAAGTAAGTAAATCATCTGGACCTTGGTCTCTGACTGCATCCATGCATGTGACCTTTTATTAGTTAGGTTATCATGCGGAACTTGCTGGTGTAATTTTTAACACATTTGTTTTCAATGTTAATGATATTTATTACTAAAAAAATAAATAAAAAATCATTATTTTTCCCTTTAAATCCTCTCTTGTCAGGCTTATGCTACTCTGAGCAGTGCCTGAACTTTGAATTTTGAGTACTCGTATTTTGCATTGTTTTTGCTTTGTTAGTTAAAAAACAGTAGTTGATCAAGCTCATAGTTCATGGTTATTTTTTGTGTCTACTTCGATTAAGTTAGTAGATTATGTTTTTGGACCATTACCTTTGAAAATACCTAGGTGGAAAAAGCCAATAAGCATGGCCAGATGTTTCCAGCCAATTTGCATTACCAGAACCCTCGGAAACCTTTGACAGCCAGAACCAGCTTATTCATTTCTTATTTTGTATTATTTTATTTTTTCATTTTGAACCAGTTCTTCGATTCTATAACCTGTCGGGTTCTGCGCTGCGCAAAAATCATGGATACTACTGTTAACTGACTTTATAAAAATATTATCATTTAATGCTTTTGATCATCCTTTTTTTACATCCTTCAATGACATTTTATAAATATGTGTCACTTTTACTTTGTCTGAAGATCAAAATTGTCCTCAAACTGATTTGGATGTGAAGAAGCCTCAAGAGTCAAGTGCTGTGGTCCTGGAGGACCTTCCAGATCTTCCAGATGAGTTTAAACAAGATGTTGTGACTCTTTTGGTGGAGAATATTACAAGACTTTCTGAAAATGACTTTACCATGGAATTAATACCAGAATTAAGAAAAGCAGTTGTGACCTTTAAAAATCCCAATGGTAAGTTTATATATAACAAATACTTTTTTTATCATAATGTAAGCATATTTAACTATAGTCAAACTCTTTTGCACGAACACAATACTTAAGCTTTACGTGATGGTCTTTTTGGCCTGGAGGAAATTAGAAAACTTTAAATTGTAGATCTAAAAATTAGATTTTTATAAAATGAACACCTTTGATATTTTGCTGGTATATACAGTTGTATGCTTTTATGACTTGACTGAGGTGTGGGAAGAACGCTTAGGTTGGGGTTACTGTGTTTTTTTTTTTTTGTTGTTTTTTCTTCAAAACTCCATGAAGCACAACACGCGTACTGGTGAGAACAATTGTTTAAACAGCATACATAGCAGGATATTTGACTGCACCACCTTTTTGACATTATTGATACTGCTTGCAATCAAAAAGCAACGGACCGCTATATGGGACATAAAAAAAATTAATCATTTGCAGTGTTTTAGTTATTTTTAAAATTTCTTGAGTGAGCAATGGTTTAAAAGAAGGCTTTCTAACTTTTTTGAACCAGAAGTGCCTTGAATCCTTTTTTTCTATAAACACAAGTTTGAAACCCAACCAAAGAGCATCTTCTGGGTCCTTCCAGCATGCAGCGCTCCAAGATGTTTTCCTTGATATGTAAATAACACTTTAAAAAATAGCCCACTTAAAAAGTGTTTATCCCACATAAATGATCAAATGCTAAAATTGAATAAATGTATATTAACAAAAATTTGCATTGAATTTACAATCCTGTGAAAACAGTGTGCTGCAGCACCCGTACTTCCTGCGCCCCTGATCAAATGCATCCAGCACATTCTGTAAACTATCATTTCTGACAGATGCAGTAAAGTTCCTTGAGGATAGCAGAACACATAAAAAGTTCAAAAAGAATGATCTGAGGGCCCGTGCACTGGAGAGAAGCACATGTGTGCGGGTGGAGAATCTTCCAGCTGAAGCCAACAACAACAAGATGCTGCTGGAGCTGTATTTTGAGAAATGGGGTGGTCCAGTAGAGGAAGTTATCACAATTCCAGCAGAACAAGCAGCCATTATTACCTTTGAGGAGGAAGAAGGTATAAATACATGTTCAATTGCTGTTAATATTTGCTGTTACAGTTATGGGTTAGGTTACATTTATTTACCTCATTTTGACAATATCAGTTCATTTATTCATTATACATGCAACTTTCATTCTTTACAGCAAAAGAGAGAATTTTGAAGCAAGAGAATAACATCTGTGAAGTTCCAGTCAAGATATATCCCTACTTTAAATCACTGGATACAGTCTTGTATGGTGGCAACAGACCACATTTGAAGCTGCCTGAACCCATTACAGTCAGTGTACATCCTGCCATCAGGAAGTTCCTCCTTAAGAAAGGGTTGATTTCCTCTATTAGTGACCAGGTGAGCTCACATTTCTGCAAAATAAACATGGACAAACCTGAAGCTTTGCTTAGTCCTGATCCAGCATTACTGAAACAGAAAGGAGTTACCAGAAGACACATTGATGGCTGGAGTAAGAATGCCTGTGATGCCTTCAAGAAAATAATCTCAAACTACACAACATCTGAGTGGCCGGTGTCACAGCCCTTGTGGTCTAAAGTGGAGAGTGATGTAAAGGAATTGGTGAAAGATAAGGTTTTCACAGATATGGATACCTCTAAAGGTGTACTGACACTGGCGGGAATGACCCATGAGATTACTGGACTGAAGCCCATTATGGAGAAAATTATAGAGAGAGCAACAAATCAATTAGAGAGAGAGGATGACAGTGTGACAGAGCATATGGAGATTTCTCCTGCCATGTACTCTCTGCTTTTACAAGATGGCCTGAAAACTGCTGTTTCTCCACAAATGCACATTGACTACGACAAAACAATAAACAGCTTAGTTTTAGCAGGTCTTCATACAGATATCATCATGTTCAAGAATTGGGTCCTTGTGAAGAAATTAAGCATGAAACAGAAGCCCTTAAAGATTGACCGTTCAGTCCTGGAGTTCCTGAGATCAGTGAACTGTGATGAAATGTCCACAGATCTCTTTATATCTCATAGAATAACTGCTGTCTACACAATCGAGAATGGAGATGTTGTTGTGATTGGGAGCACAGAAAAAGCACTTGTTGAGGCAGAGAAGAGGGTGAATATGGTTCTTGCATCCAAAGAGCTCATTATAGAAGATCAGGGTGTCCTTCAAATGCCAGAGTGGCAGGATCTCAAAAAACAAGTGCAAGAACTGTTCAATACTTCTAAAAAGAAATCTGTGTTTATTAATCATTCACAGAGAGGCAAAATAATAGTGACTGGATTCAGAGACCCAGTGATGGAGGTCAGTGATAACTTGGGACGTTTCTTTGAGAAACACACTAGAATTGAAGAAACTGTTCGTGTCAAATCACATGCAGCAGTTGAATTTATAAAAGAAAGAAAATCACAAGACTGGCAGCATTTAATGAAGTCTGAGGAGGTGCAAGTGAATTTTGATTCAAAGAGACCCTGGATCAAACTGTCTGGAGGGCGTAAATTTGTCCAGCCAGTTTTAAAAGTCTTTAAAAGGTTGATCGATGCTCTTTACACAGATACACTCATCATTAAAAAGGCAGGAGCAAAGAAGTACTTCAAGGAACAGGGAAAAATTATGCTCTCGATGCTGTTGAAGGATAAAAGATATGTGGTGGTGCTCCAGGAAGACGACATGCTGGAAGAGGAGGAGGTTGACAGTAATGGCAGCAATGTAAAAGCCATGGCTCAAGCGGTCAGAAAGGAGTTTGCTTTTTATAAACCAAAAATGACTTTCCCTCAACAAAACAAACCTCATTGGTACAGTAACTATGGACAAGGCTTTCGTGGTCTTGGCCGTGGTCGTGGCCGTGGAAACTATGACCAAAGCAACCGTGAGTTTGAAGGTTTTGAATCTATTAGTGCTTTACCAGCATCTTTAGATATAAGATCCAGGATCCCATCACTAAAGGAGCACATCAACATTCAATGCCTAAAATAAATAAATAAAAATTCTGTCAATTCATCTCAGAACTCTGGTAACTTTCTTATGTGATGTCCATCCCACTTATTTTTTTAAGTACATTTTATTGAAATATTTATTCAGATAAAAAAATATATATACAGGATATATTTAGGATAGTGACAAAATAAAACTAGAGATTTTCCAAATACATCTTTATGTTTTTCTTTAGGGCTTGCTGGCAGAGTCTCCTCTCCCTCTCTTAGGGTGCACACTATGCAGTTGGGTCGAGTGACTTTGGAGGTTTCATCGGGAGATATAACTAAAGAAAAAACTGATGCAATTGTCAACTCCTCAAATCAGACATTTTCTCTGAAAGCAGGTTAATCAAACTTTGCACACTGTCTTGCTTATTTGAATGAATCTCTGTTGTAATTTTTTTAACAATTTTTTTTTTTTTTTAAATTGTAATCCAGGAGTATCCAAGGCCATTTTAGATGCTGCTGGATTACAAGTGGAACAAGAATGTTTACAGATTGGTTTGTTTTCTTTTTTTTTTATCTATTATCATAATAGCATAATAATATTATCATAATATCATATCAATCAAAATTATAAGCTACCCCCCCCCCCCCTTCTTTCGATAGTGAGATCATCAAAAATGCAGCAAACAGAGATTGTGACCTCAGCTGGGCTCCTGCCATGTGGAAACATCATCCATATTATTGGTCGCAATGGTCCATCTGACATTAAGGATGTCGTTTTTTCAGTTCTGAAGTTGTGCGAGTCTCGCCAAATTACGTCTGTTGCCTTCCCAGCTCTTGGCACTGGTAAATTGCTTTGTGTGGTCTTATATATATATATATATATATATATATATATATATATTATACTGAAATATTGTGTGATTTTTTTATGATTCTTCAATCTCTAACCCTTTAGGTCTGGGTGGTGCAAAACCAGGTGATGTTGCAGATGCAATGGTTGATGCAGTTGTTGACTTTGTGAAGAAAACGAAACCAGTGCATGTAAAGTTTGTGAAGTTTCTCATATTCCAGACGAACATGTTGGCAGACTTCCACCAAAGTATGGTCAGAAGATCTGGGGAAAAAGTAGAGGAAGATGAAGTTCTTTTCACCAAAATTAAAGGTCAGTAAACGATAATACAAAGAATGCTAATCCTATTCATTCTTGTTTTTCTTAAACACTAATTCTTTCCTGTGTTTCTTTCCAACAAATATGTACCTTGAAAAAAAAAAAAGACTTTTTTTTGGGGGGAAGTTCAGAATCTCCCTCCAATGAAGAGTTTGTGATGGTGGGTGAGGAAATTGAGCCAGCTGTGTTCCAGCTGTGTGGAGAGACACAAGAGGACCTGAATGAAGCCAGAGACATGATCAACAGCTTGATATTACGGGAGCGCTTGATCATCCCAATCCGTGATCCAGCCATTGCTCATTTCACAAAGGAGGATGTAGAAATACTGAACGGCATGCAGAGGGAGTTCACAATCAAAGTCCAACTTGAGAAGAAAGGCCAAGACTCTGTCGTCACATTGGAGGGACTGACAAGAGACGTTCACGGTGCAGAGAGTCGTATTCGGGATATAATCCGCAAGGTGGAAAGGAATGAAAACCGAAGACATGAGGCATTGATGATCGGCAGTGTAGTCAAGTGGCAATATCAGGAGAAGGGACATAGCATCAAAAGCTTTGATATGTTGACTAATTATGACCTGGAAAAGGCCTTTCAAAACCGGCAGCCTTCAGTGAGAATCAAGATTAATAATGATGACTATGAGGCTAATTTAGTTCACAAAGAGGCCACAAGAGGGAGAGTGAGGATTGAACTGAACAGAGTAGATCTGCAAGGTGTGAATATTTTATAATTTAGACAATTATCCAAAGGCCATCATGTACAAAGTTTAGTTATTCATGTTTTTGTTATTTTTGTCCATAGATGCAGCACCAGCTCAAAGTTCTTTGCCTTCACACTGGGAGGACATGAAAGGGAAGTCAGTTGTTCTTGTGAAACTCACATCAGGCTCGAATGAATATAAAGATGTCGAGAAAGAGTTCAGAAGAACCGGTCTAACCCCTAACATCATTGAAGTAAGACTAGATGAAGGGGAAAGACAAATCTCCTGTGTTTTAGTTTCGAAAGGTTCTGGTTTGCATTTTATTAGTATGTTGAAATTCTAATATTTATTTTTGTCTTTAGATTGAAAGAGTTCAGAACAGCACACTTTGGAGAAACTATATGATCAAAAAGGAGGATCTGGAAGACAAAAACAAGCACAAAAAAAATGAAAAGCGTCTCTTCCACGGCACTGGTCCTGATAAGACAGATCAGATCAACCACCACGGCTTCAATCGCAGCTATGCTGGAGCACATGGTATCAATCAAATTCAGCATAAACTTTATTTCCACTTGTATCCATTTGTGTCAACAGTCTATTGCTCTTGTTCTGTTTTTAGGAGCCATGTATGGGAATGGATCATATTTTGCTGTGGACCCGAGTTACTCAGCCCGAGGCTACTCTAAACCTGATGTCAAAGGGCATAAACGCATGTATCTCGCCAGGGTGCTTGTCGGTGATTTCACTCAAGGAATTCGAGGCCTTCCTGTTCCCCCTGCGAAGAGCTCCAATAGTGCTGATCTGTATAACAGTGTGACTGACAACATCCACAACCCAACCATGTTTGTGATCTTCAATGATGTACAGGCCTACCCAGAATACCTAATCACCTTCCAGTAGCGATTATGAGATCTCTGTTTCTGTTTTTGTTTGTGTTTCCTGTTGGTTTGGTGTAGCTGAAAAAACTGGTATGTGAAATTTTTTACTGGCAATGTAGACTGGTTGCATCATGCTCATATACATGAGAGACCAGCAATTTATCCTGAGAAAGTTTCCTTCTAATCTTTACTTAATCAATAATTATTTGTTTTCATATATTGAAGTATTTCCAAACAAAGAAAACAGTTTGTGCTGAACATATATATGGGGATTATGTGCATGTAGATTAAAGGGACACATTGATTAAAATTAGACATATCATTATATAGCCTAACAAAGGACTTAAATTATGATTTGTTAATAAAAAATAATTGATATTATTTGTTATGCTGTGTAAATATCCTTAGATATCCTTACAACGTTTAGGCAGAATATTCTAGCATAATAAAAAAAAAACTGTTTGTCTTTTCAAATCTGTCGTGTGTCATATTGAGTTGGCTTGTGCATTTTGCTGGGAGAATATGTTGCATTCACACCATGTTGTAATTACCGTAAATACATTTCTTTATGCTTTTGAATGGTTGAATACACTAATCGGTCTGCACAGTGCCACTTCCAAGTCGAGCACACCTTGGGTGTTTCTTAATACTCAAATTGATGCTTCCTCTTTTCCTCGCTCCTCTATCCTCAAACCAGCACTCAGGCGAGTACCCAATGACCGAGTACCTGCTAATATTTGATTTAACAGGAGGAGTTATATTTACGTTGTCGTTTGTGCTGTGCGTGAGGGCCAGGAATCAATAGGCACGGGTGGATTGAGGGTCCAATAGCCAATTTGGAGTCAATTCGGTACCCACTACCCACTTATATGCAGCTGCTTTCAAATGGTCCGAAGACCATCAAAGGTTTCAAATGACAGTCCATCAAGCGCATCCATTCATGATAAAAGTGCTCGAAATGGCTCTGGGGGGTTAATTGTCTTCTGAAGTGAAGCAATGCGTTTGTGTAAGAAAATTATCCATATTTAAATCATTTTCAATAGTTCATCAATAGTTCTATTGACTAAAACAGCAAGCTTCCGGCAGACAGCCTATGCAAAAAGTAGGTAGCCTATAAAGTTCTTATTAAAAATTCTTATTGGTTGTGTAATAATAATAATAAAAAATGCTGCAAAAAGTATCAACAAGCATTACTTTCAAAAGAATGGTATTTTATACAATGAAATGAATTTGTACATAACTTATGATCATCTTCACTATTTTCTGATTGCAATTTCCAAGGAAATTGTTAGGCTATTAGAACATAATAATTATTTTTTTTATCTTCTGGTATCAAGTGGCTTTTATTAAATAATATTTGTTTAGCCAACTTTTGCCTATTTTCGACTTGAATGCGTGACATGTTATCAAGAATGCCTGACTTGGAGATAGCATAGATAAGCTTCCAATCTTGGGAGCAGTCAAGGTATCGTAGGCCTAAACCACTGTGTTTATTAACTGTTCTAGGGTAAACTTTTGTATTAGTAATCGCAGTAGTTCCTGTGTCCTCGACACTCTCGGTTTCATGGCAAACTGTCGAAGAAACGAAAGTGAAAATAGCAGGAGGGCGTGATCAAAAAGACGGCAAGTCAATTCGTTCACCAGAACGGTCACGATGGACGAATATCCCCTCACTGTCGAGGGAGACTGGGGAACTGAAAACGCTAAAAGTGTGAAAAATAAACTTCATATTCACTTTCAGAGTAAGAAGAAATCTCAGGGAGGAGACTGCGTCGTGCAATATAATGGCGAGAGCAACTCTGCTACGGTTCTGTTCAAATCATCTGACAGTAAGTGCTAAACACAAAAGCATAACAAGTTAACAAAATGACACGTTTTGTTTTGTTAAGTAATGTAATAAAGCTTTAGAGACACGTAAAGTAATTTCAGGTTCAAAAATAGTCCACAAAGTGTGATAAACTCTCACGAATTAGCCTAATGTTATGGTAATCTGTGAATCTTCCGATTAGCCACCGTTGCCATAATTTTAAAGAAAAGTAAAAAGTTATGAATACTTAGCAGACTAAACCTGACATGTGCATTTACAAATAATGAATAAGAATAAAAGTAAAATTCATGTTTCATTTTAGGCTATTTTGTGACCTACTGGAAGAATTGTGCGTTTATTATGTAACGCTACGTTAACTCTGTGTTGTTGTTTTTGTGTGTGTGTGTGTGTGTGTGTGACTGTTCTTTGTTTTAAAGAGTTGTGATGTATCTGACTAAGTCTGATTGTTTGTGTTTAAGTCCGAGATGCCGTACTCCTTCAGGAAGAACACATTATTACCATTGACAGTCAGAAAATCAAGCTGAAAGTGTACAAACCCAGCGATGTAGAGGAACAGGAAGACAGCACTGGACAAAGAGTGAGTAAACATTAGCCTACAAAATGCAGATTTGAGACCACAATGCTTTTACAATAAAAACCAGATCTTAGTGGCTTAAAAAAAATCAATTCTTAGATTGCAGGTAAAACAAAATTAACAAAATGGTCTATAAAAATATACTAATTTTAAATTTACAACAAAATATAAGTTACCTTTTAAAATAAATAACATAAGTTACTTTGAATTTACATTTATTAAACAGCTCTCCTGTCTCATGTTGAGAGAAATTGGGACCAAGATGCATTGTGTGTGCTGTGTAAACATGAATGTGTTTCCCATTTAATGGCTGACAGCTCTCCTGTCCCCATATTGAAAGGAATTGAGAGTGAGGTACGGAGGTGTTGTGTGCGCTGTGAACATGACAGTTATTGTGGTTTTAGACTAAATGTGAGCATGAATTCACTCATCTCACTTTCACAAAAACAGATTCAGTATCCCTCAAATTATACACACTTGTAAAAATGACCATATAAACAACACATTTATTCTCCCGTGTCTTATTCTTCTGCAATCCAGAATGGCAGCACATCTGAAAGGTTTATTTGTGCTGCATCCTCAACTGTGCAGATGTAAATTTTCCTTTCCTTCAGCCCGAGGCTTATTGATTTTTAAAAGGGCCTTTATATCTGTAAATGTAAATCTTTATATCAAAAATATAAATGCTTGTTGATTTTCATTACTGTTTATTAAACAAACAAACAAGCCCAGCCTAGATGAGAAAACTTACATAAAAAAATAACACTATTAGATACTTTCCAGTGAGTAAAATGCAGTATTGTTATGCATTACTTTTAAAAGTTGCTTTCCCCAACACTGATTGTAAATGCTGTGATTTTAGGTGGAGCAGGCATGTGGATATCAGGAGCCAAGTGAGTAAATCATCTGGACTTTGGTCTCTGACTGCATACATGCATGTGACCTTTTATTAGTTAGGTTATTATGCTGAACTTGTTGATGTACTTTTTTACACATTTGTTTTCAATGCAAAAGATATTGATTACTAAAAAAAAAACCTATATAACATTTAGAAAAAAATCTTTCTTTTTTCTTTAAATCCTCCCCTGTCAGGCTTATGCTACTCTGAGCAGTGCCTGAACTTTGTATTTTGGGTTGTTTTTGCCTCTTCACGATGACTCGCTTGCTTTAATCCTCAAAGGGTCTGCTAAATGACTAAATGTAAATGATACAAAACACTATTTTGTTAGTTAACAGTAGTTGATACTGTTAACTGACTTTACAAAGAAATCTTTTAATGCTTTTAATCATCCTTTTTTACACCCTTCAATGATATTTTATAAATATGTGTCACTTTTATTTTGTCTCAAGATCAAAATGCCTCTCAAACTGATTTGGATGTGAAGAAGCCTCAAGAGTCAAGTTCTGTTGTCCTGGAGGACCTTCCAGATGAGTTTAAACAAGATGTTTTGACTCTTTTGGTGGAGAACATTACAAGTCTTTCTGATAATGACTTTACCATGGAATTAATACCAGAATTAAGAAAAGCAGTTGTGACCTTTAAAAATCCCAATGGTAAGTTGATATATAACATATACATACTTTTTTATCATAATGTAAGCATATTTCACTATAGTTAAACTCTTTTGCACCAACACAATGCTTAAGCTTTACATGATGGTCTTTTTGGCGTGGAGGAAATTAGAAAATTGTAAATTGTAGAAAACTATAGATCTAAAAATTAGATTTTTATAAAATGAACACCTTTGATATTTTTCTGGTTTAATTGTATGCTTTTATGACTTGACAGGGGTGTGGGAAGAAGGTTTAGGTTGGGGTTGCTGTGGGTTTTTTTTTGGTCACAACATTTAAATAAGAAATAGTATCGAGTCAAACATGCAAAACTCCACGAAGCACAACAAGCACGATTGTTCTCGGTGAGAACAATCGTTTAAAAAGTGCACATACCGGAATATTTGACTGCACATCACTTTTTTGACATTATGGATACTGCTTGCAACCATAAAGCAACGGACCACTATATGGGACATACAAATAAAATAAAAAAAAAAATAATAATTTGCTGTGTTTCTTGAGTGAACCATGTTTTAAAAGAAGGCTTTCTAACTTTTTTGAACCAGAAGTTCCTTGAATCCATTTTCTATAAATACAAGTTTGAAACCCAACTAAAGAGCAGCTTCTGGGTCCTTCCAGCATGCAGCGCTCCAAGATGTTTTCCTTGTAAATTACACTTTAAAAAAAAAAAAATAGCCCACTTAAAAAGTGTTTATCCCAAATAAATGATCAAATGCTAAAAATGAATAAATGTAAATTAATTGAATTTACAATCATGTGAAAACAGTGTGCTGCAGCACCCGTACTTCCTGCGCCCCTGATCAAATGCATCCAGCACATTCTGTAAACTATCATTTCTGACAGATGCAGTAAAGTTCCTTGAGGACAGCAGAACACATAAAAAGTTCAAAAAGAATGATCTGAGGGCCCGTGCACTGGAGAGAAGCACATGTGTGCGGGTCGAGAATCTTCCAGCTGAAGCCAACAACAACAAGATGCTGCTGGAGCTGTATTTTGAGAAATGGGGTGGTCCAGTAGAGGAAGTTATCACAATTCCAGCAGAACAAGCAGCCATTATTACCTTTGAGGAGGAAGAAGGTATAAATACATGTTCAATTGCTGTTAATATTTGCTGTTACAGTTATGGATTTGGTTACATTTATTTACCTCATTTTGACAATATCAGTTCATTTATTCATTATACATGCAACTTTCATTCTTTACAGCAAAAGAGAGAATTTTGAAGCAAGATAATAACATCTGTGAAGTTCCAGTCAAGATATATCCCTACTTTAAATCACTGGATACAGTCTTGTATGGTGGCAACAGACCACATTTGAAGCTGCCTGAACCCATTACAGTCAGTGTACATCCTGCCGTCAGGAAGTTCCTCCTCATGAAAGCGGAGATTTCCTCTATTAGTGACCAGATGAGTTCACATTTCTGCAAAATAAACTTGGACAAACCTGAAGCTTTGTTCA